AGAAGGCTGCGTGGAGACCTCATAGCAGCCTTCCAGTATCTGAAGGGGGGCTATAGGGATGCTGGAGAGGGACTCTTCATTAGAGACTGTAGTGACAGGACAAGGGGTAATGGGTTCAAACTTAAACAGGGGAAGTCTAGATTGGATATAAGGAGGAAATTCTTTCCTGTTAGGGTGGTGAGGCACTGGAATGGGTTGCCCAGGGAGGTTGTGAATGCTCCATCCCTGGCAGTGTTCAAGACCAGGTTGGACGAGGCCTTGGGTGATATGATTTTGCATAAGGTGTCCCTGCCCATGTCAGGTGGGTTGGAACTAGATGATCTTAAGGTCCTTTCCAACCCTAACTATTCTATGATTCTAAATATACTGAACCTAGCAATACAGTTCCACAAAAAGAAAACTTGCTTAATATTTGGTTTTGTATGCATGGCGTTAAATGTTGAAAGGACTCACAGATGCCACATGATTGAGGGATAGTACAGGATGTCAAAAAAACTAAGGTGAACAGAATATATAACTGAAGCATGATACAAATTCTAAAAGGGTCATTTGAGGAGATGCTCCAGCCCCTATGCATGTACTACTAGCCAAGTGGTTCAGTGCTACAAGCTGCCCACTCTACAGAACATGCCATACTTTGTGAAGGAAAGCACATAAGTTCCTTACAGAACAGAAAGGACAAAGTCCTGGCTGTCAGGCATCAATAGCAAAGTGTCATAGACCTCTTTAGGGGCCAAAGAACACCCTAAGAAGAACAAAGAAGATTGTATGTACTCTTCTGTTAAAAAAGCCCAACCAGCTAATTCCAGTTATGCTGGAACACTGTAAACAAAGTCAATATAGGAAAGTTGTAGTCTAGTAAATGACTTGCTTCAACATAGCTACATCTGCATTGTCCATAGTAGCTTCTGAGAGAAAGAATGGGACTGAAAGTCAAAGTTCTCTCTCAAAAGCCAACTCAGTATCTGGTAAGAATGTGTTTTGGAATAATGTTTAAATCTCGGTAAGATTTAATACCCAATTTCCTTAAACTGGCATAAATCAGAAGAACTGGAAGCTTAACAACGTAGAAGAAAGAGATAAAAATGAGAACTGAATCAAGCTACCTTGTTACTAATGTTATAGTGCCTATACAGCATGCTAGTATGCAAAAAAGTTACTCCTGTTCCTGAAAAGCTTGAAAACCCAGTAAATTAACCTTACTAGATTTTAGCAAAAAGATAAAATCTCAGCTAATTCAAAGACCAGGTGGCATGTTTAACTTGCCTTACTTCTGATTGTAGGAAAGAGCTCCTGTTTTCTATAGTTTAATTCAATTCATACAAGGCCCTGTCTATAACATCCACATGTCAACTGTTTCTGAATATTCTGAATTTAGATCTAAGCTAAGGAACAGTCAGAAGTCAAGCAGTCTATTTCTGAGATACCGAATGAAGGTTTAAACAGTGGATCAGCCATTCAAGCCCATTTTCTCTAATTCCTCTCCTCACTGCAAAATCCCACTGTATCTGAGTTTGTGCTATGATGTTTTCTGAGCTTGTCAGTCTTACAGCTGGAAAGTAGCCAACTTCTGGCTAGAGCAAAAGAAGCTGGTTTTATTCCAGCTTTTGGCATGTCTTTACAGCCCTATCAAAAGTCACTGCTGTGTGATGCTTAGTTTTAAACTGAGAAACTATGAGAATTGTGAAATCTTGGGAAACTTGCCTGGTGAAAGAGCTCACACTGTGCATGTATGCATGGGAAGGGGAAAGGTTGAGCAACTTAACCCCCAGATATTGGAGTGACTTGAGAGAAATTGATACGAAAACTTTTTGGCTCAAATTTGAAGGACAGAATGCCAAGTTTAAGGACAATCAATAGTCAGCTTTGTGTTACACCATGACCAAATCATGCAAAATTGGTTTTGGTAAGACCACAGTTTCAGGTGATGGTAGCACTGTAAAATCACTTGATGTTCTGACGTTTTCTTTCATCAGGAATATTGAAAAAACTCATAGAATAGGACATTTTTTAAAAGCTTTCATTATCTGGAACTCAAATGTTATATAAGATTTCTACGTGGCTGTTTGCATTTGCACACTAGTTCCAGAAAAGTGGCTGAAATTGGTAAGTTTCTCTTCTACATTCTGTTAGAAATACTGCTGTAATGTTATCTGATATCTACAGAACTGAAAGAAGACAATGTTTGTAAGTATAGAAAATATCTTTTTATACCCTTTCACTTCAGATTATTTTAGGTCTGGTTTATGTGCCCAAAAGCTTGCTCAAAAGTTGGCTTGCCTTTTCTTAACATAGGGAAGTCAGTAACATTGTTTTCCGTATCTCATTAGATTATTGTGGCTACCACACAATCATTAGAAGATGGAAAATAAAACTATTAGCTGTTGAACATATGCTAATTGGCACAACACATTCACCAACAAACTCTGTCTTGACTTCGGAGCACTAGTGGCATGACACAGAACCTGTGATCTCCTTTTTCATATCTTTTCCTTTTTCCCTACACCTTTCAGTTATAAATCATGCTGCAATTGCACTGCCAATCATTAGGTCAGAAGGACCAACCATTTGTGCTGAAAGATTCTTCCTATACTTAAGATTCATCACTGCTGCAGCTCCACAGCCTTGTCCTGGGCTGTATCACCAGCAGCGTGATCAGCAGCACGAGGGAGTGGATTCTCCCCCTCTACTCCAATTTGGTGGGACCTGCACTGCAGTCCTGCATCCAGCTGTGGAGCAACAACACAAGAGGGAGGTGGAGCTGTTGGAGCAAGTCCAGAGGAGACCATGAAGATGCTCTAAGGGCTGGAGCAGCTCTGCTCTGGAGACAGGCTGAGAGAGCTGGGCTTGTTCATCCTGGAGAAGAGAAGGCTCTTTAAGGGGAGACCTTAGAGCAGCTTCCAGTGCCTAAAGGGGTTGACAAGAAATCTGGAGAGGGGCTTTGACAAGGGCCTGTAGTGACAAGACAAGGGGGAATGGCTTTGAACTTTCAGAGGGGAGACTGAGATGAGATATCCAGAGGAAGCTCTTTACTGTGAGAGTGGTGAGGTGCTGGCACAGGTTGCCCAGAGAAGCTGTGGCTGCCCCATCCCTGGAAGTGCTCAAGACCAGGTTGGACAGGGCTTGGAGCAACCTGGTCTAGCGGAAGGTGCCCCTGCCCGTGGCAGGGGGGTTGCAACTGGATGAGCTTTAAGGTCCCTTCCAACCCAGACCATTCTATAATTCTATGAGGGTTAGATGAGTCAGTGGTAACAATGCTGCTGAAGCTGAGCCTGAAATGCAACACCTACTAGTGGATCAGGACTGCTGGTAAACTTACATCTCTGAGGTTTGCTAGTGTGGGCAGAGCTTCTCAGTCTCCAGAAATATTTTTAAATGACATTTCCCTAAAAAAACCAAACAAGTCACATGCTCCTTTTGCACATCCTCCTACCAGCTGCAGAAACCTACCTATTTATCCTTAACTTTGAGAGCCCGTGAAACATATATTTAAAGTGAGTGTGCACCTCCTACTCCCAGCTGCAGATACCTATGCCACTTTCCCATTTTCAACTATGACCTCATAAATATAGTCACAGAATATCACATTTTTCCCTATGCCAGCTGTACTCTGACTGCTGAACCCTTCCTCATTTCACCATTCTGAGTCATGATATCTTGATATTCAGTTATATATAAAATATGTAAGTCATCTTTTCCCTCTCTCTTCCCAAGCAGTAAACTCCTCTTTCATTTTTCCCTGAAGCAGAATTGGAGCTTTGTGCTATTCTTAACTCTTAGTGACAAATAGGTAATAACAGAGTACAGAAGTAGCTCCAAAAACCAAGTCAGAGAATTGATCAGGATCTTAAATTCTTCTTGCTACATCGAAGAGATGACAGAAAATTAATTTTCTATTTTACCTTCACATTCTCAACTCTGCTATTCCTTCTTGCATAATTTTAGTAGTGTATCTTGGACTGGAAGCTATCACAGGTTGGCAGCTGAGGCTACTGGTGCAGGAGGAAATGCACAAATAGTACATAGTACTTACATCTCCCCTTCCAGGCACCACAGCTGGCACAACAGAAACATCTGTCTTTACTGCATAAAAGAGTATTAGGGCAAGATGGCTGTTGACCAGAATATACTGTGCTGCAGCAGTACAGAACAATATAAAAGCCTCTAGAGGCTGATACAACTTGAAGGACTACTATGTCCTGTCAGCTCTGCACAGATGACAGAAAGACATCCAGGTTGCCAAATGACAACGTGGGAAATCTTGTGGCTTGGCGTATGCTCTACATTTACTGCTTCTGTATTGAACTATGGAAGAACAAAAGCCTTGGGAAACTCTCAGAGGACCTGGAATGACACTGAAGGACTTCAGCCTCACATCTCTGAAAATGAAAGTCAGTCTTTCCAGTTTGAGGGATGTGTCAGTAAAATCAAATTAGGAAACGACCTCTCTCTTTCAGTTTTCTTTCTTACTTGTCTTTGGTTTATATCCTGCTCGAGAACAGTTTCTTTTTAAAAGTATTTAACCTCTTATGTAAAAAAAAATAAAAAAATTCCTACGGAAATATTTGATTCTACAAATGCCCTAATCACCCTGTAACTTCCTGACAACATCCTGATGGAACCTGCATTTTCAGCATTCGTCCGTGTTTTTAGACCACAGCTATAAGAAACAGAAATATGAAAGCAAAGTTTGGAAAACTGCTCTTGAGCTATGTCTGTGATGGAGAGGCATCATTAGGAAGAAGAAAATACGTAAGCATGAGCCCAAGGGTCTTACAAGAAGATCCTTGTCTCATAGAAACTGACTTTGGTAGCAATCTGAAACAATTTGCACCAGCTGAGAAGCTGCTTTTCATGTCATCAAATAGCCTATTTTCTCCTTTGCTTTAACTGTAGAGAAGAATCTTATTGTTTTATAAGAATTACAGCTGAAAAGTGCTATGGATAAGCATTACTTCACTACTTTTTCTGCTTCAAGCAGTAGAGTCATCATAACTTACAAAAGCCAGTCAACAGCAACAAGCAAACTGATGTCCTGGGTAGGGAGACCCACTGCAGTAAGGATCAGCAGCATAGTGACAAGTCCCGCGCTGGGAATACTGGCAGCTCCAACACTTGCAAGGGTGGCAGTCAAACTGCAAAAACAAAAATCAAATGTGGGTAGCAGGAAGAGGAATATAAACTTTCATTGCATGCTTATGTGATCATTAGGAAGCTCTTATTTTTAATGAGTTCCCCCAAAAACTAATGACTATATGAGAGACCATGGTAATGTCAGGCCCCAGTTTTCATGCTTCTATTTCTCAGAAAATATTTATTTGGGAAGGCCAGATCTATGGGGTTTATTCTGAGACTTGTAAGAGAGTTGTCTGAGGTTGAACTCTGTAAGTTGGTTATGATATTCAAATCTTTTGCCTGACAGAAGGCTGGGGCTGACCCAGACAATCCAGGTTGTGGTGTGTTTCTCAGGTGTCTGGGTTAGAGTACAGCCTGGCCTACTGAACACCTGGGTAGGTCCAGCAGATATACAGGCAGGATAGTTTGCTCGGTGGTCAGGCTTCACAGATGGTGCCAGCTCCTCCGGCACTTCCAGCTTGAACTGGTAAGGGATTGCTTTTGCTGTCCCACAGCAGCACTTAAAGACCTGCAGTGGAATGAAGGCCTTTAGACCTCTGTTAAGGTCTAACCATGCTGGCTTAGCTACCATTTCCAGTGTCATCCTCTCCCAAAGGAGAGGAAATCAGAGGATCTACATGACAAATATGAAGTACCTAGGACTAGTTTAAAGGCTAGTTAAGTCTTTGTGAGTCTGTGTCTGGGTGATGTGAATATCCTCAGTACCACAGACTGGATTTGACAGAAAAAACATAACAACCTTTCATTCATTTGTATTTCCACCTCAAGAGACAGCTATTGTGATACTGTTGTAGCAAAAACGGTATAGAGCATAAAGAGGAGAACCAATTGTTTTCTTACAGTTAGCCCAAAGTTGCCACCTGCTCAGTAAATATGAGTCCCAAAGCTGGCTACACCAGCCTTGAAATGGTTGATCAGGAAGAGCTAACAGGTCAGTCCCTCAGAGGAGGGTGTTGAGGCCCTGGCACAGGTTGCCCAGAGAAGCTGTGGCTGCCCCATCCCTGGCAGTGTTCAAGGCAAGGTTGGACAGGGCTTTGAGCAACCTGGTCTAGTGGAAAGTGTCCCTGCCCATGGCATGGGATTGGAACTGGATGAGCTCTAAGGTCCCTTCCAACCCAAACCATTCCAGGATTCTATGAAGAGAAGTAACTTGGGCTCAAGCCTACCAAATTTCCTGGACAACAGCCGATTCCTGACTTGAATTTCTATAGTCTAATTTAGCTTGATATGTGGCAACTCTGAAATGACTGTTTTCAGTCTTAGCAACAAATACATAACACACAGGCCTCACATCTGCCTTCATTAGAAGAAGCCCAGAACCCTTCACAAACCTTGGCTTTACTATTTCAGGGGTTGGGGTAAGAAGTGAAAAAAAAAGGAAAATGTGGAACTAATACAGCTGTGCAAGAAACATGGAATTATACCTTTGTAGGAGTTTCTTTAGTGTTAAATAGTTTCTTTAGTGTTCTTTAATAAAAGAAAGGTGGGTGGGTGAAAACTGCAGGAAGAAGACAAACTTGGCAGCTTTTACTTGTGGTTTCCCTTGTAACTATTCAAAACGTTAGGCCTGGTGTCTTCATCAAGTTTTCCACAGTAAATTAACTTTAGCTGTAGCAGTCATAACTTTGCCATTGTTTTTTATTAGTCACTCTACCTAATAGGTCTTAAAATTGCATTACAGTAAACAGTCTTCAAGAAATTCTTTCCTGTTAGGGTGGTGAGGCACTGGAATGGGTTGCCCAGGGAGGTTGTGAATGCTCCATCCCTGGCAGTGTTCAAGACCAGGTTGGAAGAGGCCTTGGGTGATATGATTTAGCGTAAGGTGTTCCTGCCCACGGCAGGGGGGGTTGGAACTAGATGATCTTAAGGTCCTTTCCAACCCTAACGATTCTATGATTCTATGATTTATCCATTTTCAATGGTTACATTCCTTTGTCCTTTCAGATATTCAGCTGACTTAGATATGACAATTCGATACAAAAAAGACTAGAACTAGCACTTGCTGGGAGTATCCAGACCACACTGCAGACATTCTCAACCTCAGACTGGGCTATTCTCAGCCAGTTTGTTTGCTGTTCACCAAAGTCACAGTAAAAGTACAGGCAAACATAAATATATGGGTACATTTTTAGGTATACTTTTTCCTTTGACTGTATATAAACAGATACAGTCTAGAATGTTAATGCCCCATTTATCACTTGTAGCATTCCTCTGCACTAAAAAAGGCACTGCACTGGAGAGAGAATTAAGTATTTCCCATTGTATCGTCAACTGCAAGACTCTCTAGAACACCACCAGCATGGACTAAGCTTGCAGATGATAGAAGAAGCGTGTCACCAGAGAGCCAGGACCTATGTATATGACATTCCTTTGCATATATTATTAGAAATCCATGGATTTCAAAGTGAATATCACAGCTACTGAGAAGACGTCCAGCCCAAAGCTTCACATTTTACAGTCTGTGGAGACAAAGCCTACGAGTATTTTGAACTGACCTCACAGTAACTATCTGGCCTCCATCCAGCTCAATTCCATTCATCTGTGCTATGAAGATTGCAGCCACAGCTTCATAAAGGGCAGTTCCATCCATGTTAATAGTTGCTCCAACCGGAAGAACAAACCTTGTTACACGCTTATCAATGCCTAGATTTTCTTCAAGGCACCGGAATGTGACAGGTAATGTTCCAGCACTGAAGGACAGAAAGCAAGAGTAGAGAAGGCATAATTACAGTATAACATAAGGGAGGAAAGTCAGATATTCTGCTATCATTGTCTACACTTTCTACTTCCACTTTCTGCTGTGATTCAAGTGATTTTTAGCCAATTTTTAAATTAAGCCTTCATTTAGCTGGAGGTGGGCCAACACATGAACATGACTTGAAGTAGGGATGAGAGCTTGAGAGAGTGTAGATGAACTTTTCATACACATTTATGGATTATTCCTTGTATTTTGTTCAAAAGGACAAGTTCCAGATGTTTTCTGATGGACAGAACTATAAGCATAGGGACAAATACTAAATTTCTTTGAATGTGAATTTGCTCTGACTGGAGAAAACAGTGTTGCATTAAGGAATGAAAAAGCTAGGCAAAAAGATACAACCCATCAAGTTCCCAGACCCTGGAGGACAGGAAGGATATAAAACACAGCTGGAGGACAGGAAAAGATGTGAAAGACGGCTGGAAGACAGGAACAGCTCCTTGTACAGATCCACAGTGCCTTGCTGGATTTAAAATGAAAGAGGGAAGATTAAGGTTCAACATAAGAAAGAAGTTCTTCACTATGAGGGTAGTGAGCTACTGGCACAGGTTGCCCAGAGAAGCTGTGGCTGCCTCATCCCTGGCAGTGCTCAAGGCCAGGCTGGACAGGCCTTGGAGCAGCCTGATCTAGTGGAAGGTGTCCCTGCCTGTGACAGGGGGTTGGAACTGGATAAGCTTTCAGGTCCCTTCCAACCCAAACCAGTATGTCATTCAATGAACAGTTCAGGCTATTAAATGCACTTCCTCAAAAATTCACTTTCATCAAAAATTACTGCTGAAAACAAACATATTCTTTTTTCCTGTAGATTCAAATATCTCCTACTTTCTTCACTATCAGGTCTGCCTGTCTCAGGCAAAGGACTTGCTGCAACAAGCATGAAACTCAACACAGGAACATGTTTTGGTTTCTTACTTTTTTGTATTCTCTCTCCACTTGGTGGAGCAAATCTATTGTGGTTGATTTGCTTCAGTGGGCAGAATTTCTCAAAGGTCTTCACTACTGTATCCCACTCATTCTGGTGCCATTGCCCCTATAAAAATACTAATTTGCTCATAGAAGAGTAAAGGACTAGACTCACCATATTTTCTCACATAAATACTTACAACATATTCTTGCTAGTGCCTTGCAACTTCAGGGTCTTTCCAACTCATTCATTCATCCACTACAATAGAGATGCTAATTGGGTACAAAAAAATGCAATCTTTCCATTTTACAGATAATTAAACCATGGAAAAGGGAGATTAAGGAATGATTGAGATACCTAACTATATATAACTTTATAGTGTTATATTAAACGTCCTAGGTTATCAGGTAGAATCACATGAGGCTGACCTATCTCACATGGGACCTATGGAAAACTCAAACTGTTCTGGACTGGCAGATGCCCAAATCACTCCTCTTGTCCCACATCTATGGAAACATGAGTTAGAAGATATAAACTTCTAGATCCCCGTCTTGTGCTCAAATGATTGGACCATTCTCTGTTCACAGACGTGATTTTTTTAACAGACTTCGATAAGCCAGATACACGGTACCAAACACTTGCGTTTTAGCATTTTTACAAATATATTTGTATTTCTTTACTGTGGATTTAATCATAGATAATCCATGTTTAATATTCTGTGCATTTAGCTAAATCAGAGAGAATTCATACTTTCTAAAACCACGTAATATATTCTCTCATGAGATACTCTAGCACCTATATTTGTAGCAGATAGCAGAAAATACCTAGTGAGTCATTAATCAATAATTAGTAGGCAGTTTTCAAGTCAGTTCCAGGATCACCTTGCCTCCTACAGAAAAGATATTCTGATATTTTACCAACAGAAAAATAGAATAGGAAATGTAGTTCACGGACACACACTGAAACTCAGCCAGATACAGTTCTTTTTCTTCGGAAGTGTAAGTTCTGTCTTACATTTACTGTCACAAATCAGATCATCAGTACAAAATGCGTACCAGCCATGGCCTACTGTTGTTGCAATGAACCCCAGCTGGCTCAGGAAAGCAGGGACTATACAAATATCTTTCCCCTTCAGTTCTGCCACCATAAGCAAGGACAGGTGAGCAGGCCATGGAGACAAGGTTTCTTTATTGGAAGAGCAAATTGTAGATGCCTTCCACAACTCCTCAGCCTGGCCAAAGAGCTTTAACAGGTTGCTGAAAAGGAACTATCTGCAACTTCCAGAGGTGCCAGGTTAGACCATATGATGGTTATAATTGTCCTGTGATCACATGTCTGTGGTGCTATGTCCACATCTGTTTAGCCAGTAATTCAGATCTGGATAGCAGTCAGGTGGTAAAGGTAGTGTCCAGGAAAATCCATATGCTGGAAACACTTAGAATCTCTTATATCTTTCCACTTTGGTGCTCCAGCAGGAAAACATTACTTCATGCTAATAAACCCCCATGAATGTTGTGTATGGACACTGTAAATCTGGTAATGAAAATCTAAGTGGAAACTCAAACACTTCAATGAACAAAAGCCTTAGGGAAATTGTGGTTTAGCGAAACTCCTGGCCAGACTATATCTCCTATAATCTGCATTGTTTATCACAGAGCCACAGAATTATTGAAGTTGGAAGGCACCTCTGGAGGTCACCTATTCCAACCACTTTACTTAAGGCAGGGGTAGCTAGGACAGGTTACAGAAGGCCATGACCAGACAGGTTTTGTGTATCTCCAGGGACAAAGACTCCATGACTGCTGTGGGCAACCTGTGCCAGCATTCAACCAGTCACAGTAAATCACAGTAAAGAGATTATTCTTGTATTCAGATGGAATTTTTGTATGTTTCAATTTGTGCCTACTGCCTCTCGTCCTGTTGCTGTGCATCACTGAAGAGTCTTGCTTCATCTTCTCTACACTGTCCCATCGGATATTTACGCACGTAAGATCCCCTCAGAGCCTCTTGTTCATCAGGGCAGAAGTCTTGCAGTAGAGCGATTTGGGTTGGCCAAAAGAGGCAGATGAATTATAATTCTTTCAAGGCATTCCTGAAATCATAATGCTACTTTTCTGATGGTCAGTTTTGAACTAGGCTTTTTTGTCTTCAACTTTTTGATTAAAATCGAAGATTATATTTTCTTCACAAATAAAACATTTATTGAAGAAAAACACTTTAAAACATGGTATTTAACTGAAAAAATATTTTTAACACAAATTTACTGACTGCTTCAGTGCAAAATATCAACATATTACTGACAGGTAAGTTGCCTACATACTTTGTTGAGTCTGTTCTGTTCATTAGCAATGAGTCTAAAAGTGCTCATCTCTAAAGTCCCCTTACTCTGCTAAAACAGATAAAAGAATGAGGGTTTTTTTTTATTTCTTCTTGAAACCTAGCACTGTTTATATTTTTCCCCCAATGCAATGAGACTGGTATTAACATGCTTTCAAAACAAATAGAATTATCACTGTTTCCTAGGCGAGGTACAAGTACAGGGTAAAACAATTTGCACAAGTCATTTGGTCAATGCCAGAATGGAAAATAAAAAGTGTGTCTCTCAACTGTCTGCAGATGGCTGTACAACCTCTCTATAAAATCCTGACGCTGTGTGGTTATTTTTGTTTATTTCAACATGCTGGATTAAAAACAGTTTTTATTCAACAGCATAAGATGATTTTGCAGCAAAGACCAGAACAGCATATGTACTACCTCTAAACAGCAGCTAAGAATCTGCTAAAAAATAAAGCAAGACATTATTTCCCAGTTGTACCTGGAAGCTGTGCCTAGCGCTGTGATCCATGCCTGGAAAATCCCAGCAAGGAAGGAAAATGGGCTTTTCCTTGTTATCACAAAGTAGAGCAGAGGCAGGAAGATCCCTCCATGAATGAGAAGACCCACAATCACAGTGACCATGTACATGCCAAGTTGTCTAGCAACTACTTCTAAGTCCTTGATTGCAATGATTTTTCCACAAATGAGGCAAGCAATGCCCAAAGGGGAGTACCTGGAGAAAGAGAACAAGCATAAACAAGAACCAGTCTTTGCCTTGTAGTCATAAAAATTGTCCTCAACAGAATAGACTGGAGGAAGGGTAGGAGGCTCTCAGGCTCAACACTGAGATGCAGTTCAGGAATTGATGGAAATTCAATGGATAGCTTTCACATCTTTTAAAAAATAATGGCTATCTCCAGCAAATGCCCCATCTACTCCATTTTATTCCATCCCATTGAGTGGAATATGCATTTCCTGAAAAGTCTTCGTTCCTGGAATAACACTGTACAAAAATACTATAATGTTACGCAGGCTTGGATCATTATGAAGATTGGTTTAGTACTTGTTTTAAATACATAACTTTTACAACCCATTGCTTATCTGGTTTCAGAGAGTTGCATTATTTTCTTCAGTTAAATTATTTGTTGAAATGAATCACTTATCCTGAAGGCTGCAACTGTTTCTGTTATGTTCTTTAAATAATTTGGACAAATGTTTCTTAGTTCATGGATTCTTCATTAATTATGTGCTTTCCTTACTTAGGGCAGGGTTTTTGTCACCTCAGTCATGTTACTCCCCAACGGCATAAACAGAACTTTTAAACAGGGTGATAATAGTAGCATAGATTGATAGTAAAAAGATTTGAAATTAATGGATATTCTTTAAAAAATTTAATAGTGAGAAATGCCTGAAAGTGCATGGATAGACCATTTATACATACACTGATAAAGATTACTACCTTATATAATTTTAAATGACATTCCCTGTATCTGTTTCATAAAATGTAAGCGGAAAGTAAAGTGTGTAACAGTGGAGAAACTTTACGGTTTGGTTCTCTGAAAATAAATGGTAATGCATCTTTTCAAAAGGAATTAGTGATTTGGATGCTTAATTAAAAACCATAGAAAGGAAACTGACTTTCAAAATAAAGGTGCTTCATGTTTTATGTAAGAAACATCTGAAGAAACATCTCATGGTCTCTCAAGCAATGTGCCCCAAACCTTGAAAGCACACTTGAAATGCAAGGCCAGCTGTTACAGCAGTTATCATAAAAGCCACGTTTCAATGAACTTGACAAAACATATATCTTATAAAGAATTACATGGTATCAGAGCCAGATGTCTGCTTTATGTTCATGTAGCAATGCCACGCTCCTGAGAGTCTGGAGTTGCCACAGGGGTTACAGTTCTCTGTGCAGAGAAATCATAAATGAAACAGAACATAACCCTGCATAAAGAAGTGCATTTGTCTTTATAAACACACATTTAAAAAACTGCTTTTGGTCACAACAGTTCTTTAAAAATTCTAGACACAGATGAACAAGTGGAATTCTCAACATCGGCCTCCTTTCTCAAGAGGAGTAAAAAGCACATCAGTAAAAAAACCAGTGAATATCTTGAATCTTGCATGATTTCCTGCTATTGCAACACTACTAGAGACAATTTATACTGTAGGCAAGGTATTGTGTCTTGGGTGTACCAATTGGTGCTAAGTAAGAATAAATTCTAGCCCTTGAAGTGTTACGAGAGTATAGTCACTGTCTCTCTACAGACTTGAGAACAGCAAAGTTTTGTAAATAAAACCAGCTGCATTTTTATGCAGCAAGATTGCTTACAGAAAAGCAGAAACACAAGAAGAATAAAAGTAATTGCTTCATGTTCTTTCTTTTGTTCTAGACATTTCCACATCACTGTCACTATCTGCATCACTCTTGCAAAACAGTGTCCCTTTGAAACACTGATGATGCTGGATACTTGGACCTTAGGCACCCTGCTTCCTTTTCTACCGTGTCCATCTGGAGCCTCAGAGAAGAGGCATACTGCAGGCCTGTAACTCAGGAAACACCTTCCAGGGCCACCAGGGAATCATGGGGAGCAACGAGCCATGATACACATGTTGTAATAGAGTACCTATTTCTGCTCTCAAAGACCTGGGAGATACGAAACACAGTGGTATAATGCTTTTTTATGTTCTGAAAAACTGGATTTGTGCGATATGGCCACACTTGGCACGGTGCACAAAGAGCTCTGGGGAAGCCCTTGGAAGAAAAACCTCAAGAAAAGGAAAAAAAAAAAATAGAGAATCCCCTTCCAGAAATGTGAACAAGGGCTCAGTCCTAATTGGGTAAAATCACCCCCCTGAAGGCAAGCAAAGCCCCATTATTACAAACGGGTGTACTTCCAGTGACCCCATTGTGGCAAGGCTGTAAGACACAGATTCTGCAGAAACCATGGGTGGAGGGACTACGCGTCACTGAAAATTGCTGGAATTTTATTTGGTGGTAAAGTATTTTTACTACAGAAGGTAGTGAATAAAGGGTGTCTCCAGGCTTCTTTGTAATCGTACCTCCTAGCTAATAGCCTGCTAGCCTCCCAGGAAGATTTGGATATTCCGATGTGGGGTGTTCTTGCTTGCTTATGTGTCTTTCTGTGTAATGAACTTCCACAATCAATGTGGTATTTGAAGGCCTTTGATGGTACCTGCATGCCTTGGATTTAATTAATAATAATTCAGAAATTTTTCAAATCGAGTCCTAAATAATCCTCACCCACTAGAAATAATGCTGCTATGGTTCTAACACACCTGTTAAGGCTTTAAAAAATGAACTACTTAATTACATTGTTTACTAACAAATTGTGGTCACTATATGCTATATCAAGGGTTAATAAAGTTGTTTCAAATATTTTTTTGTTCTAGAAGTTAAAACTTCAAACTTACCACATGATCATAGTTACCAACTTCATTACAATCTCATTCAGGATGTTGAAGAAATCCACCATCATCTTAGCCTGTTCTCCCATTTTCCCCATAGCAATGCCAAAAGCAATAAAGAATCCTATCAAACCTATTGGAAAAAAAAACACAGGACAAAAAAAAAGCACAAATAAATCCATAGATTTTAGGAAGGTTTTGAACCTGGTCAATGCCTTGATACTACTTGCTAATACAGTTTTCAGAACTATAAAGTATTACACACCTCTTGGGAGTTTTTACAATGAAGTCACTCTCCCCTTGCATGATCATAATCAAAATATCTTTTATTCTTCAATATTTTACTAACTTCCAATTTCACAGGCCAACTATGCGGTGTTCTTTTTTTCTTTTTTCCTGAACTGATCCGATCACCAAAGATATACCTATACCCTAATCTTCTCAGTGCCATGCAACTGTTAGAAACCTCATAGCCCCTGGCAGATGGGAGAGGCAATACAGTGCTGTACCGTGGCTCTTCATTGTTGTTAAAACAGTCACTAGAGACCAAGAGTGTTTTCCTCAACCTTTACAAAAGCTTCTTGACAGTATCAACCTACAGACTAGATAATCAGTCTTAGAGTACAGGGAAAGGCAAAAGCAGCCCTGGAACATAAATTTCACAGGCCAGGAGCATTCCAGTTAAATGAAGAAAGTGGCTGTGGGAGGAGAAGGTGGGAGAACGGACAGCAACTTTTGACAAGAGCATGAAGTGACAGGACAAGGGGAAATGGCTTTAAACTGACAGAGGGGAGACTGAGATTAGTTAGTAGGAAGAAGTTCTTCCGACTGATTCAGAGAAATCTCCAGGAATGCGCCAACAAAGTTTTGACAAGCAGGTATTCTTTATTGCGGCACCAGGACCTTGGCTTGTTCAGCCTGGAGAAGAGAAGGCTCCTTAAGAGGAGACCTTAGAGAGGCTTCCTGTGCCTAAAGGGGCTGACAAGAAATCTGGAGTGGGGCTCTTGACAAGGGCCTGTAGTGACAGGACAAGGGGGAATGGCTTTAACCTGACATTTAAAGGAGACATTTAGATTAGATATTAGGCAGGAGTTCTTTCCTGTGAGGGTGGTGAGGCGCTGCCTCTGGTTGCCCAGAGAAGCTGTGGCTGCCCCATCCCTGGAAGTGCTCAAGGCCAGGTTGGATGGCGCTTGGAGCAACCTGGTCTAGTGGAAGGTGCCCCTGCCTGTGGCAGGGGGTTGGAACTGGATGAGCTTTAAGGTCCTTTCCAACCCAAACTGTTCCAGGATTCTAAGATTCTTTGATTTTACTTTAAGCTAAACCACAGAACTCCCATTAAGCAGATTAATCTCACTGAAACCAGCTATCAGGGGATACATGATCACAGAATTCAGTAAGAGCAACATTTGGCTCCTAAATTTAAATGCTTAGGTGTGAAAGTCTGGAGCATTGGATTATCAGTGTGAAAAACCGAGTGCATCTGTCATGTATTACTTTGGAGCTGTATCTCCAATGCTAACCTTTAACATCCAGCAATTTTCAGTGGGATTAGTAACTGATACTGAAACAGTTTGAATCTTCAGCCACCCTTTGAGGCTAGTCTGTCATAATATGATTTCAGCATTTAAAATATGTGTGAACTCAACTGGGAAATTCCTAAGGAAAAACCCATCAGGACACAAAAGTATTCAAGAGAAGGGAATTTCAGCTACTGGCACTCTGGGAAAAGACAAGCTGTCCCATATCCTCACATTGGGTTTAGCAACCAGATTTTTTTCTTCTTCTCTTTTAATCCAATCTCCTGGATATGAAGTAATTTCTTAGCACTAAGCTATCTTTGTTGAGTCACTTGAATTAAGGAAGTGAAGTGTATGCTTGTGTGCTGTGGAGCGCAGAGAAATTATTAAAAGCTTTTCAGTCAAAGACCAAGTAACTTCCTGGAATTCAGACACTGCACCAGAATATGTTAGTAGGTGGTTTTGTTCGTTAATTCCAAATGAGCTGCTGTATTAGTCATGAGAGTCAAGTTGGTTCATATTTGCAGGAATTTGCCTGGCTTGTACAGTTTATGCAAGCTGGCTGGCAATTCCCCAATTTTCACTTCTTCATTCAAAACCAAACAAAACTCTGGAACATTTGAGTCATTGGTCAAAATACTACAGCAAATCCCACACCTAAACTGTGTATTTCCTTTATGTGGGAATTGTATTCAGCCTTCTATCTCTTTTCTTATCCATAACAGTTCCTGCACAGAAAAGTCCAGCACTAAATGCAATGCATCTCTCACATGAGAAATACTGTCTCATTTTAATGCATAAGCTCTGGAAAATTAAAAAAGCAGGTGAGGATAACAGCATGAGTAATGATCTGTTGCCTCATGCAGGGTGCAATTTGCAGCTTTGAAAAAAAGCAGCTCCTCTGCCCACAGACACTGAATGGAAGGAGGAGCTGCGGAGGTGGCTGAAACAGTGGCTCTTGTAAAGCCAGCTTCTTCACAGAGAAACAAGTAATCTCTGATCAGCCCTTGACAAGGGCCTGTAGTGACAGGACAAGGGGGAATGGCTTTAACCTGACAGAGGGAAGACTGAGAATAGATATTGGGCAGCTGTTCTTCCCTGTGAGGGTGGTGAGGCCCTGGCAGAGGTTGCCCAGAGAAGCTGTGGCTGCCCCATCCCTGGGAGTGTTCAAGGCCAGGTTGGACGGGGCTTGGAGCAACCTGGTCTAGTGGAAGGTGTCCCTGCTCGTGGCAGGGGGTTGGAAGTGGATGAGCTTTGAGGTCACTTCCAATCCAAACCATCCTATGGTTCTATGAGCTTGTTGGTGCTGTTTCTCCTGTGACAAAACAAAGCAGCTGCTGTCAACTGTCTCGCCAACACCTGGAGAAGCTCTGCAGGCACAGCAGCCACAGTGTCAGCAGGAGCAGCACATCAGCTGCAAGGAATCTGTAAGGGGCCATTTATTTGCCCCTAAAAAGTGATGGCCCAGCAGTGAGATTAAGCAGTGGCTGAGATACTGCCACACACTGTTCCACTTTGAGGATGACTCTATAAACACAGGTGTCAGCCTGTGGGCATGCTGCCACGGAGCTTGTGTATCTTTAAGTGTAGACATGCCAATGAGGCTACAAACTGGGGGGTAATTTGTGTCTGAGATCACCCACATCCATAAGGTAAGAAGGGGAATGAGGAGCACTCCTTTCTGGGCTGACAAAACAGGGAGTCTACACACAGGAGAAAACAGAAATGGTGTGGTGGCTCTTCGTTCCTGTGTGCCCCTTCCCCAGCTCAAACAGATACCTCGGGAAGGGATGGGAAATGGCAAAGCCTTCATATCACCCCACTTGCTGGCTCGTCTAGCCAAGATGGCACAATGTCAGTTGCTCATCATTTGCAGCTGGTAAAGGTCAGCAGGCAAGATGAAAGGAGGGAGCTGTGACTCAGAGACATATCAAGCCTCCCTGGATTTTTTGGGGTGGTGTGGTTCACACCCCACCTCTCATTGCAGGCTTTGCCTCAAGCCAAGTTCTAGCTCAGTGTGCCAGAGACACCTACTGGAAACAGCTGAGCTCAAATTCAGCGGGTGGATAGAGGTGGCTCTGGAACCTCTCTCCCATACTGTTCAGCCAGTAAGTCTTAGTTTTAGTCTAGGTAGGCTACTTCTAGGATGAAAGGATACCTCCTGCATACTTCTCCACTGTACTCCAGTTAACACCTGCAAAGCTATGGGATAATTCACTTGCTTGTTTCTGTAACACAGTCATATTTCTCAGAAGACCGTTAGATTTTCATCTCCGAGATCAGTGAGCAGCCCAGTAGGTGGTAATATTTGCTGATTAGTTGGGGAGATTAAACTTGCACTGAAGAGGAAATCAGAAAACACTGGTTACCCAGTCACAGCCAAAAGCTGTGTCATACAATATGATGTACATATTTGACAGGCAAGAAGTTTTCCTACCCAGGACATTCATGCCATCCTTAAATTCAAGGCCCTTCTTAATGACCATCTGGGCTTCTGGTGGTGCTTCACGCACTGTCTCATTCATCAGAGCAAAAGCAGAGTCAGTGACATTAGGTGTTTCTTCTATGGGTGGTGGCACCAGCACCTTCTTGGTGACAGTTTGGATCTGAAGACAATAAAAAGGGAGGATGAGAATGGAAACAGACTGAATGCAATCCATATGGGAGATAGGGAAAAAATAATCAAACCAGTCTTCACTTGAAATTCCAATGAACTATATTTTTTAAGGATTAGACATGCATTCCACAACCTCTTACCCCTCTTCCAAAAATAAGTTTGTTTTTCAATCGTTCCAAGTGTCACAAAGTCCTGGGAGTCTTCCTCATGACTTTAGTGTGAAAAGTATGGCAAATACTTGTTCCTTACCCCTACATTGTAATCTTTTACAGCTAGTTAGCCCCTTTGTCCCAATGGCTCACAAATGGTGCTTCACAGATTGTATGTTACACATTGATACCATTTATTTAGAACCAAAAGACAGGCTCCTCTAAGATCAGTCACAGGAGCAACTCTGCAGCAAGGCTTGTTATTCAGTTTGGTCTGCCCAGCTAAAGTTATCATAGTTTGATTGTTAAGTCAAAACAAAAACTTAGGCCATTTCCAGCGCTTGACTTGGTGATTGCAGGAGCTCAGAATGGAATATACAGTCCCCTTAGCTCTCAAATTAAAATACTGTGAGTGACAGATAAAAGACAAATTATCAAAGCTGCCAGATACCTATTAAATCAAATCTGACCACCTCAAAGAGAGATGACATCAGCATCTGAATGGATCTGCAACCTTCCAGGCACATGAAAGACAGAGTCAAGGGAAAGCTACAAAGGAATGGTAGGGGAGAAATGGGCTTGAGTTTACAGCTAGGAAAAAAGGTAGAAGAAGTGGAAAAAAAGAGAGATCTGTGACTTGCTGTTTTTAGAAGGGTTATTTTCCTCCTGCTTCACACCTTGAGCCTTTCCTGTCACTTCATGGCTTTGGGACCAGCAAAATGGCTAGAAAGCTATGACCGGTTTGCCATGGTTTCCCATCTGCTCCCTACTTCCCTTGTTCCTAGAAACACGTTTGAGCAAGGCATCAGAAATGGTACATTAGCTTTTCAAAGAACATGTGCACCTCTTTCCTCTTGAGTTCGACATTTTAGTTCTAAGGATGATGATCCAGATTTAATCCATGTATTTTAAAACCTTACGGTTGTTTGGTTTTTTGCTTTTTTGTATTCCTTTAGTTTTTGTTATTAAAAAAAAAAGTTTTTAAAAACCTTGTGGTTTAAAAACCTGATAGTTTTTAAAATACCTTACATCCCTCCTTTCAAACCCTGCTGTCTAAATCTAGAAAGACGGATATAGACAGAAATTCTACACAGCTTTGTATGAGAAACTCTACAGTTGTCTTGAAACAACCCAACATTCCTGCATGCTTATGATTTTTCAGAGTTAAATTTTATCTGAGGGATGTTGTCAACATATTTTTTTTTATGTGAGGTATCCAGAATGTAAGAATAGAGTCCCAGAAATTAAACTTAAAACATCAAGCTCTACACACTCACAAATTCCACAACAGTCAAAGGTCTTCAGCCCTTCTTTGAACAAGGCCAGTCACTAAAAATGCTGAGCTAAACATGAAATATGGATTCTGACAACAACGTCTGATGCCAGAAAACCATTTAAATGCCACAGTCATATTTATAGATGATAGTCCCATTCTCTTTCATGGCACATAAGATCTTAAGTCTTTGATGGAACAGCCCTTTGCATTATAATTAAGATTTTCTTGTGGATCAGACAAAAATTCAAGAGATATTGAAAAGCCATGATGTCCAGAGTGCAGTTTGCAAATGAATGGTCTCAAAATTGCAAGCGAATCCCTTCATTGCTTTCTACCTGGCTGCAAGGAAAGGCGTCTAAAACTCTCCCACAAACAACAGATACATAGTACTATTGCTGTGCACTCCTCAAGATCATTTTTCACAGGATTTCTGCAACAAATGGCTTCCTCCTAAGGCAACCTGGTAACACTGGGTGCTCATGGAGATACACTGTATACGTGTAGATAGAGAACACATATGCTGACACCATTAAAAGCAGTTAATTATCCTCCTAAATAAAGAGAGAGAGAAGTAGAGCCTAATGCCTTAAGAAGAAGTTAAGGCTAATAGAAGGCACAAGTTCCATGTGGAAAAGAGTGTGACTTTGCAAACTAAATGTGGCTTTGCGGCAGAGGCTTTCACTGGCAATTAGACTGGAATAAGATAAAATTAAAGACTGGAAAGCCAAAAAAGTTCAGCAGCTTTTTGACTAAGTTTGAAAACCTGAAATGGACTTGGTGATCCATAACCGGTGAAATGACCTGGACATTGGCATTACACACCCTGAAAAAGCAATAGTAAGGATCCAAGGAAACTATCGGACACAGGTAGCTTAGTTGTTCTTTCTCCTGCTTTTAGTCGCTTTGTTGAGATAATTGACCACTTTCAACTGACCAGAAATATAATTCTCCTCTCTTCCACAGTTCAAAAGAGGAAAAGGAAGAAAAAAACCCATAAACACCCTGCTCTCCCCTCACTTAATTTTTCAAAAATATATTTGACGTTACATGTGATGTTTAGCCACCGACAGTTTGACCACATAACTGACATTCCAATTATGATTTGGAAATATTGAGAATGTTCTGTCTTTAAACCCCCAAGGACTATGTGTTTTTATGTGGAAGCCCAAAGAAGTGAAGCAATCCAAGCCCTTTTGGCAGCTTAGGTTGCCCTCAATTCTTCCATCCCCCAAGGCCTGTTCTCCCATCCCCTCTTCACTTTATTCTTCGGCCATAACCACAGCTCCAGCTATCATGCCATTTCACATAGGAACACTTAAGAGCAGGTTTGGCAACAAACCCTGTTCCACCAAAAAAAAAAAAAAAAGAAAAAGAAAATAAGTCTGCATTATTGCGAAACAAATTAGTTGTAGGAAAAAACAGCTTACATAGAAGAAATATGCATAAGCAGAAATTAGGAATCAGGCATTGATCATTTATTTTACCCCTTGAATTGAAGCTGTTCTGATTAAGTATTGGTGAAAACCTTTTTGACAAAATTATCCACCCTCAGAGCAAGCAGTACATGCTGCAAGCATCCTTCTTCTGAGGCATCCCAGATGGCTCAAACCTGGCCTGATGGAGCCACCTGTAGGTGGGTCAAACACTTCACTGGACGATCCCCCCCGGTCTGTACTCTAATACAGCAGTAGAAGTTATGAGAGGTTGAGGTTTGGGGTACATTTCCACTGGCAATGAGCTGAAATAAGGATCATTCATATATTAAAAATAGGGCATTGCAAAACCATCAGCTCTGTAACTAACAACCAAGATCAAATCAACCTGGGTTAAAGATCTCATAATGCATCAGCTGTTCATTAAGCCAGAATTCATGATCATATATATTGTAAAAAGTGAGGGGAAAAAAATTAAGTTTACTTAATAACAAACTTAAAATCATCTTCTTAAAAAAAATCTATGAATTTAAATAAAAAACAAAGCAGCTATAAATAACATTCTTTCATTTACCTGCTCAAGAATTAAGACCTGTATATCTGTTTGCTTCACCGTTTCTGTCATTTACCTAAACAATAACATAGACAACCCTGGTGAGTAAAAGGTGTAAAAAAACATTACCAAGGATTAGAAAGATTTACCTGCTGAAAGCATGCTTGGACTAAATTTTCAGGGAACAGGTTTCGGATCAGATCCAAGAAAGCATCCAGACTAGACACTTCATCGTTCTTCTTCCCTTGACCAAGCTGCTTCCTGAGTTTTGGATTCCCTGGATGGATGGCTAAAACCAAAATCACACCCAGCACAGCAGCAATAATAGTGGTGGACATGTAGTAGACCATGGCTCTTGTACCCAATCGGCCACTCGCTTTAGCATCTAAACCAGACAGTCCTGCAGGTGTTTTATTTTAAGAAACAAACAAATATATTGAGGCTCAATATCCAACTCAATAATCATCAAATAAAATCTGTTATACTTTGCAAAGTTTAATGACAGCCTACAGGTGCCTACTTTTGTCATTGTAGAATTCTCACCACTAGATAGATTCTCCCTCCAGTTCTTCTGTGAATGTCTGCTGCTACTAATTTGAAGAAAACCATTTAAGAGGAGACATTGATAAATAAAGAAGATATCCTACTATCTTTGCCCTTGATTGCCCTTGATGGCTGCAAAATTAAAGCTGACACCACACCTTTAAGAAGGCTAGGCTTGTTAGTGTCATGACATCTTCTTTGTAAGATCCAACCCAGGTATTAGGTGAAACAGCATATTAAGAAATTTCTGATGTTCAAGAAGGTAGTGTACGTGTACATGTGCTCAAAAAATAAATTCACTGGAGCGTCTATGCATTAAGGCAAATGAAGTTAATTAGAAAGTAACTCTGAAATAACACACTTCAACTGTAAAATCCCTGACAGGATCACACTATTACTCTTCTTACACTGGAAAAAGCAAACCAGGTGGTATCTGTAGCAAGCATCTTAAAGTATTTATGGCTAATAGATCTTACCTGTGATTAAACTGGAGATAATTAAAGGGAGGATCAGCATTTTTAGCATCCTCATAAGTATATCTCCTGGGAAGGCTATTAACATGATGATGTCAGGGTCAATAGGAGTTGCTAGACGAAGAAGACCCCCACAGACTGCACCCAGGATAACACCTAGAAGAAGAGTAAAAGAGAGCAGCTAGGTAACATAAATATACCTGAACATACATAAATTACTTTTAAGAATAGCCTGGAAGAAAAAAGGCTACATGAGGCAGTAATGAGGAAGATTTTTGGTACAGACACAGATTTTGGAAGGCTTATCCCCCTGATTAATACGAAGTTGTAACACGCTTATCATGTATCTTATGATTAAAGAGAAGTTGTTTTGATGTAGAATCTTCTGCCAGCTGAGCTTACACCTGATGCACTATCCTGCAATACAAATTTGCTGCAAGCCACAGTGTTAACTGAGGTTTATTAATACTGTGTAGGCCTTGCAATATATTGAGGGATAGTCACAGATAATTCATATCATTGTTCTACAGGCACCAAGATGTGATTTCTGTAAGGCTATAGAGAATTGATAAGAAAGCAGGCTTAGGACCCAGCTCTTCAGAGTATGACATCTAGCTTTCAATATAAGAATAGTACCACCTGAAAACAAGGTCAGTGTGAGTAGTTATTTTACAGACTAAGAAAAACCCTGCAGGAAAGATTGTCTTGTGCAGGAAATAGTCCTGTGAGGGAAACAGATTCAAGTTTCACTTGGGTGGTTTTAGAAGGGAGTGCCTGATCTGGAATAACTTGAAGAAAACTTATCATAGTATCACAGAATGGTTTTGGTTGGAAGGGACTTTTGAAGGTCATCTAGTCCAATCCCCCTGCAAGGAGGAGAGACATCTTCAGTTAGATCTGGTTGTACAGAACCACATCCAGCCTTGCACTGAATGTCTTCAGGGCTGGGGCATCCATCACCTCTCTGGGAATCCTGTACCAGTATTTTACCCTTGTAAAAAATTTCTTCCTCTTGATTCTTAGTGCTCATTTATTACTTCTTCCCTTTAATGGTCTGCATCCTTTTCCTTGTGCTCACATTCTCAAAACACAAACAATCCCTTCATCACTTAGGTGTTATCACTGAAGATCTAAAGCCCTCTCTCCAGATTGAGAATGTTGAAGAATAGCCTATAGGAACAAAAAGGCCATGTTCACGTCTGTAACATGGTCTTTGTGAATAGATATTTTATGTTTACATCCAGAATGCCTTTATTTTCCTGGTCCCAAGCCAAATTCTCAAGTGTAATAAAACTTGACAGCAAAGCCTGAATTATGATTTGCAGCAACTATGACTCTTTGAAGAATCAGTTTGATACAGTGGAAAATATATGCGTATTTGAAATATTTTCTCGAACCGCATCAGGCACCTTCTAAAAATGATTCAATGCAAATACAGTCTAAACATTTCAGTGGTATGAGTTTCAAAGGCTAAAAATTATGGATGTGAAATTTGCAGCTCAAGACCAGCTGCAGCTGGTCTTTAAAACAATAACAAAATAGCCTATGTGTATGAATTTGCTGCATTTGGCTGTTAGTCTTTCAGTGAAAAAGAAACAGGCAAAGAGCCAGTAAACCACAGTAAAATGTCACACTGTTCCATATTTGGAAGCTGCTAAAGCCAGAGGCAACATTCAGGATGAGATCATGGAGCGCTGACTTACAAATATGAGGAGGGGACAAACCTTAAAAGCAGCAGAGGATGAACTGTGAGATAAAAGATGACGGGAAGAAAATTTGAAGAGTTTTGTCTTCCCCCCCAAACTCCCCAAATAGCTTAGAAAAAAAAAATGTGTAGTGCATTTAGTTCTACTGAACGACATTGATCTGACCAGCCTTGGGACTTAGATCACACTCCATTCAATACCAGATGCAGAAGGTATTGCAGTGGCATGGGTTTGCTCCATGTTGTGTCAGTAACACTCTGCACACCTGAATTAAAGGGGCAGTGGAGAATCCTTGAGGGAGAAGGCTGCAGGGAGGCTTTAGAGCAACTACCAGTGCCTAAAGGGGCCAACAAAAACTCTGGAGAGGGGCTTTTGACAAGGGCCTGTAGGGACAGAACAAGAGGGAATGGCTTTAACCTGACATTTAGAGGAAACATTTAGATTAGATCTTAGGCAGAAGTTCTTCCCTGTGAGCTTGCTGAGGCCCTGGCACAGGTTGCCCAGGGAAGCTGTGGCTGCCCCATTCCTGGCAGTGGTCAAGGCTGGGTTGGATGGGGCTTGGAGCAACCTGGTCTGTTGGAAGGTGTCCCTGCCCGTGAGAGGGGGCTGGAACTGGATGAGCTTTAAAGTCCCTTCTAACTCAAACCAGTCGGTGATTCTACGATAATGCTTGTGGGCATCCTATCCACTCTCTGGCTGTTCAGCTGTTCCAGCTGGGGCTGTGGGACTACATAGACAAATACAGATGCATACTGCATATTCAGACCAGCAGAAGTAGCTTACCAAAGACAGTTAGAGTCAGGAGCAGATTCCTATGGAGTGACTGGCAGAACTGAACACATATGTTCCTGGATCTGTGCTCCACGGGACTTAAATGACTTTCATGCATCCGCACTTCTACTTGCTTAGGCATATTGTTGGCACTAGAATAAAAAACGGAAGTTAAGCAAAAGTTATAGCACAAGATGACAGAAGTGAGAGGAAAGTCTGGATTACTTCCACCACATATAACTGAGGAACCTGACGCATGTTCCATTGCTTTCCACATTTCACAAACACTATATATTAACTGCTATGGAGAAGTCTTTGAAATGGCAACGGCTTGTCCCTCTAAAGGTGTAGCTTTTAATGTCTTTTTTTGTCGTTGTCTCTGAAAGGGTGGGGATGTAAACAGAACTAATTCAGTGGACACATCATTCCAAGTCTTTCATGGACTCAACTATTGGTTTTGAGCTGGAAAATTCACTTTCTCCCAAAATAATGGCTGTCTACTTAAAGTAGGAGAGATGGCTGGAGAACAAAGTTTCTATTAGCAGGAAAATGCAGATTTTAATACATTGTGTAATCCTAATGCAGGAAAAGAGTTTTAAAATGAGGATTTATTTGTAAAATAATGCATTCCATAATTTTGCTTCATCTTCCCAAAATGTTCCATTTCAGTATTAACATTTTATTGTACTATAATCAGAATGATCTCGAAGGAATCTTTTTCAACTTGTTCTAATCTTTTTTCAACTTGTTCAACTTTTTCAACCCCTACTGAATATTAGTCAAAAAACAACACATTTCCCAAGAAATCCTTTGGTTTTTTTAATTGTAAGGGCGAGAGAAAAAGGTTTTTGACTAACACCGGTATATGTTTGAGTAAGTGATATGGACATGAGTGCATGACTTCAAAAGCCATGCCTCTAACTTTCTCAACACCTGAGAAATCATTAGCAAGACTCCCCTTTTATATACAAGATATTAAAATGCACTACTACAAATAAAACATAGAGTTTCCCTACAAGTTAAGACTGTCTCCGTCAATATGAGAAGTTGGTAAAGAACAAATTCTTTCATTATCAAGTAAATATACATTTTACACTCTTATATTATGCCAGATTAGGATGAGATTTTAGAAAAAAAGAAACCAAATCTTTCTCTACAACAGTAGAATGAGGTCTACAGACCTAAACCAGACCTAAACAGGTCTGAAAGTTACATAAAGTTTCAAATAAAACCACTTTCACGAATCAAAACATTTTTTGTTATATATAGTTGTCCTCATAAAGTTTCTCAACAGAAAGTTTTTAGTAGACCTGTAATAAGAATTCAGCCATTCTGATGCAGATAGTTTCATGATTTCCCTTTCAAAGTGAAAGAGCATTTCTTTCCAATATTAAAAAAGTAGCACCAGCAGAAAATGCATTAGAGATTATGTTTTGGTTTCAGGGGGTTTGTTTGGGGTTTTTTTTTAGGGCAAAAAATTCCTCTAAGTCTTGTAATTTTTATTTTGTGCCTTTTAAAATATTTTACAGTGGTGGTTGCAATGAAATGTCCTCCTTTTGGTGGAATAACAAGCAAGAATATCAGCGCGCCTTCTGACAACTTAAATGTGAGGCATGTCTGCTTCTTGAAGACTTATGAATGCAAGTGGAAGAGATACATGAGGATTAGCCAGGGGATAATATGCATAGCAGTTATCCGAGGAATTATGAGAAAGATGAGGCAAAGTCCACAGTATTCCTACTACGCAGGCTACAAAGCCGTGAAATCACCTGTGGAAGTGTGCCACAAAATCAAGGAACTTGGGAACCCAACTTTGCAACTAGGGAATACATCTAGTTTCTCTTGCACTGTGAACACAAATGTATAACTTCTTTAGACCTACAGGTTTATTCTATATGCTACTGAAACTCTGAAATATGGACAGCTGAAAGTAATTGAGAAGTAAACCTTAGAGGCTCCTCCGTTAGCAATTAATCAGACTAATTAATTAATGGAATGGATCAGTAAACAGAAGCAGCTGATGATGTTATATGTCTTTCGAGGCTGTTGCTTTGTGCTAGGTTTAGTCTGGTTTCCTGGACCCTTTCCCACCTGACACCATGCCAAATGAAAGCCACCTCACATGTATCTGCTTTCTAAGCAGTGGGTCTTTTCTATAACTCACAGACAACAGAAGCATATCGTTCCCCTGGCACCACTGCTGAAATAAGTCCTTCCATGCATAAGCAAGCCTCTGGTCCTGCTCTTGTACTCAAGCCTTATTTCTATTCCCAACCATTTCTATGTGACAGCATAGTTTGCTGGCCACATACCCCTTCCACTCCGAGTCTGGTCAGCATACAAACCCGGGTTCATGAAGGGAGGAGATGGTGCACCTATTTGTACAGCTGCAGGGACTACTTCAGGATTATACCCCAAAGTGTAGACGGTGGTCAAACAACACAGACCTTCTATATGATAGCAACAATCTTCTTCAAAAGTTCAGCCATGTAACCTCTGAGAAGATAAGGAAATAACACAAAGCTCTTCAAGGACATTCCTAAATTTCCAGGAACTTAATACTGTATTGTGTGCTTCCCTCAAGTGCAAAATAAGGGCTTTACACTCTCCAGCTCTTTTGTAAATGAACCTTCAGCATGGACTGACATTCTGATTAGCATGAGGTTTTTAAAGAAAAAAAGACCCATAACTAAAACATGACAACCATGCGGATCTGTTACAAAAAGCGTTGACATATGAATATCATCACATTAAAAAATGGTACCACAAAGGATAATAATTCAGTTAACACTGCTCTTCAAAATGAGATTTTTATCACCACACCAGAGACAAAGTATTGTTCCAGCCTTTTGAGTAAATTGCAGAGGGAGGGGAGGGGAAATAACAGAGAAATAAAAACCTTCTTCAAAGGATAATAGAAGCTTCTTGTATAGCGCTTGATAAATCCAGATTTTCCCCCAGAAATTATCCATCCAATGACTAGAAGATGAAAATCTGTTTGACCTCTGAATCATGCAAATGAACTGTTGTCTTATGGACATGGTATGCACAAGGTACAAGAAAAAAACAAAAATCTGTCCATCAGCATTTGATTTTAGTTTATCTAAATATTTACAGCTAGTTTTGCATGTAAGATATACAGTGCTATATGAAACAATATTAAACTGCAAATTTCAAGCTGTAGTTTCTTTCTCTCGTTGGCTGCTACGCATAATGGTGTCAAAACGCAGGAATACACTTTCTTAAAACACCAAGTTCTCTGAGATTCTTTGTTCCTATTTCCTCCAAGCATTTCTCTTAGGTTTTATTTTACCTCCCCCTGCGACACTCTGCTGTTCTATTGCTTTTCAACTGCTTCTTTCTCATTTTCCCACTGACATTTCTAGGTCTAAAATGTCAGAAAAAACATTTGCTTCTTTTCCTTGACTATCAAATATAGAGACCGTGTTTAATCTGTATAAGGTATCTTAGATGTGTCAACCAAGCAGGTAATTCTCAGTATAAAATTCTGCTTTTCATAATACTGCTGGGAGGTTAATTTGTCTCGTCAGGTTTGGGAGTTAGCAAGCTGTTTAGAGGAGGAGCAGTTGTTAGCAAACCAAATGGCTATTTTGGAGTAGGACAACAGAATGAGGATAATGGTATTTTTGGGACCTGGCAAAATAGCTCTTAGGTGTTTATTAAGGGTTATTTAGTAGAGACTCAGGGTTTCAGCAAAATAGGAAGGATTTTGGGAAATAGAATTTTCTTCCTTGAATAAAGTGCCAGTTTATGTTATGAAGCAATTACTTCAATCTAGGCAGCAAAAGTTATTCTTGAGAAAACAAACTCAAACTGGCTTAAGTTCCAGTTAAGGGTCTAAACCATCTCTTGAGCTAGATGTTTGCTGTCAAACCAAACACTGTTCTCTTCCAAAGCAATAAGTAAACAGCAAGTGTAAATGCCAGTACTTCATAGAATCACGGAGTGATTTGGGTTGGAAGGGACCTGAAAGCTCATCCAGTTCCAACCCCCTGCCACTGGCAGAGACACCTTCCACTAGACCGGGTTGCTCCAAGCCGCGTCCAACCTGGCCTTGAGCACTGGCAGGGATGGGGCAGCCACAGCTTTGCTGGGCAACCTCTGCCAGTGCCTCACTACCCTCACAGGGAAAAAATTCTGCCCAATGTCTAATCTCAGTCTACCCACTTTCAATTTAAAGCCCATTACAACTTGCGCAGTTTTTCCTAGGAAGTCTGGCCTTCTTAAGGAGAAGGGAAAAATAAACCAAGATGGGGTATCATGAAGTTTGGTGCATAGTAATCTTGGACAGAGCTTGTCCTAGCAATCAGTGCAATTGCATGGGAGTAAATGAGAGTTTAACCTGCCCTTAAGAATATCTGTTAAGCAGCTAGGCTTGGAGCGGGGTTGTATCTCTTCCCCTTTCCCTGGAGAGACAGTGTAACACTGATGATTTTGGATCACATGCTGTGTTCGTGACATGGAGAGGGAGTCTGGCTCTCCTCCACCCCACATGATCAGCTTATTCCTATCTCATATGAAAGGGATAGGGTCTATTCTGGTTGCTAGATAAAAGATGAGCAATGGGAAAGAACATATGGAACACCACCAGGACAAAAGGGAATTCACAAGCAGGATGTGAGGACTCCAGACTGTCACAACTCTTGTGGAACTAGCGCTCAAGCAAGCATCAGCTTACCAAGAAACTTCCAGTTTGAGCTGGAATAACTGGCTGCTGCTTAAGTTAGTTACATCAAGACAAGAATTAATTACACCAAGACAACATCTGTTCAGCTTCTTCTGGGAGACCGTCTGGGACTATATTGTTTCACTGTGCCATGGCATGCACTGTAGTGTGTGGGGGGTATTTTCCTGGATTAGATGTATTTTTCAAACCACAGTGGAGCTGATAAAGTTCACCACAAACAGCGACAACATAACAGGCCATGCAAGGGAAACAGCTAAAATACATAGAGCACTCCTGCTCTATGATGTCCCGTTCTTAAATGTTGCATTTTATATCAATAAAACATTCTGGTCAGGTCTCATCCTCTTTAAATAAATAACCTCTTCAGACAGTTTGCAATGTGTAGATCAAGCTTCTTCCTGGGCTAAATTTTTCCTATAAACTTGCAACTTAGATTTTATATTG